ATAGCTCGAAGTTAATCGTGTTTGTTGAATTTAGTTTCCATTGTGGTAAAGTCGATTTAACTCCACAAAAAGCTCTAAATGCAGATATATAATTATGATGATAATTCCAATGTGCTATCAAATAAGAAAATTTAAACCAAGTGTGATTTTGAAGTAAAACCTTCTTCAGCATCGTTGTGATTTGGAACTCATTGAAACGAGAAAGCAACACTAAAAAGGGACAAATATATAAATCTATGGAAGAGAATGAGATTGAATCTATACTTTTAATATAATTAAGCGGAAGAGGTTTTTTGCTTGTTTAAACAGCTAACCTCTGTAAATTCTTTATGTATATGATAGCCAGATTCACAAGGAATAATATTCTATAGTAAGCTATCTACCATTAGGCTACACTTCTCAGCTAGACCTAAATATTGTTAAGCAAGTCAGAAAAAGAAGTGCTCCCGAACTGCTTTATCCGCGTGGGCTTGGGTAATAGTTAGTGATAAGTAAATACTATGTTCTATAAAAATTTCTCCATCTAAAACAAAGTCCGCAATACCATAGGCCTATTTCTTATACATAAGCCACAATAAGGTATTTTGTAACAAAAAATATTGAAAATTAAAAAGTGATTTATGAGCGTTATTATTAGGCATGGCATATTAATCCTTACTAACTAAAGTTACTTTATCATTAAGACAATTTTATGAAGATAAAGTTTGGTCTTTATAGCATGTTATTTGGACGTATAGTTTATGAGATAATGAAATTTTAAAATAACTCGGAATGGCGCGCGAACGACGCCTACCACGCTAGCCGATGTGAATCGAGAGTGCCAAGCGAGGTGCAACGTCGCGCAGCTCTTAGCGTGATATTTTAGTCAACAAGTTCGAAAAAGTGTTAATTCTAGTTCTTGCTCTTAAAAACTTGTGAGATAGCTCATTCGATTCGCAATGACGTCTAGAAAAATGTATATTGACGATTTATTAGAATTTAATTAGAATTAAAATGCAATTGTTATTAACAAAATAAGACGAAAAACAAAAGGATATTTAGTTTTACCTTAATAACTCAAAAACAATTAATATTTAAGAACTTTTTAAAAAAGATACTTAAAGAGGAGGAAATTTTCAATAAAAAATTATGAATCCCGAATTCTGTCTCCATTATTTATTACTTTTATTTAACGTCATAAATAGAACCGTGCAACCGTTACGGCTAGAGCGCATCGCCGCTGAAGACAGTATATAATATAAAATAATTTTTATAGTATTAAATAGAAATTTAAAAATTTGAGAAAATTATGGTATCATCAAAACACTTGAATAAATAATGCCACGTAGGAAAAAATAGTTTTCAAGAAGTAATACGATTGTAAATTAACTAATTTATTTCCAATCTCAGTTTTACAAAAGTCAACATAAAAGTTTAAATAATTGACCTATAATTTTTTTACTTATTAGAATCCTTCTTATATACATAGTTAACAAGATCACATGATAAAAGTTTATTTAAATTTTATATTTTGTTTGTTGTAATTTTTTAAAATGAACGTAAAGTGAAATATTTGTTAATACATCGTCGAGAGAGAGTTTTAAGCGTGGTAGAGCCATGCTGCAGCTATATTACTGGTATAATTGTAGCATCAATGGGTCGGCTCGACCGGGGAAGGACCACGCTCTCACAGAATACCAGCGTAAAATAGGAGCTTAATGCTGCTATGTTTCGTATGGTGAGTGTAGAGAACCGGAGACCCTTTTTACTGGAAACGTGGCATTCCATCTTAGTCTTCACGGGTGACAACGCATCTGCATTTTAATTCGTAATGGAGGATAGATGTAGATATCTATCGGTCACAGTAACCACTTACCATCAGGTGGATTGTGTGCTCGTTATTCTTTAAAATCGTCGTAGGGTCGGCTCGACCGGGGAAGGACCACGATTTTACATAATACTAGCGTAATATGGCAGCTTGACACTGCTGTGTTTCGTATGGTGAGTGTAAAGAACCGGAGAACCATTTTACTGGAATAGAGGCATTCCATCTTAGTCCTCACGGGTGACGACGTATCTGCATTTTGATTCTTTATTGAGGATAAATGTAGATGTCTATGTTAAATAGTAAGCATCAAGTTTAGATTAATAATAATAATGTTAGTTACAATACTAAAGTTTATGATTTATTAGCTCTTAGTTATAGCCTAAAATTCGATATAATAGCTCCTCCGGAGGACACTAGATATTCAACGGATCAGTCTCATAGCTCGACCAAAATCGAATTAGCACTCTTCTGGAACGTAAACTTAAAGTTACGCTCTAAAGAAGTGATGCATGAGTTGACATCGGACCACCGTCCGGTCCTAATGAATTTAAGACAGTCCAGCAGTGAGATCCGTCCAATCAAAATTGTAAGGGACTGGCATAGGTTCGAGGCTAACTTTGATTCTATGAACTCAGAATATTTAGATCAAGTGCCAAACATTATTGACACTAAAGAGGTGGCCTTAGAAGCCATCTCTTATATCACCTCTCATATAAAGGTGGTTGCCGCGGAGTCTTCGAGGCGGCTCAAGGCATCGAATGATCGTCGCATTGAGCTCCCCGGCGATGTACGGTGACTACTGAGTGAGAAAAATACTGCGGTGAAGGCCTATGACCGTTACAGAACCGTCAATAATAGGTCCAATTTGCGCTACCTTTGTGGAGAGTTCAAGGAGCGCATGGCCCAGCTGAGGGAGACATGATGAGATAATCTAATGGAGGATATCTCGCTCTCGCATATAGCCTTCTGGAAGCTGGCGAGAGCTCTTGAATCAGAAAATGTCGCTTCGATGCCCCCATTAGTTAGATCTGATGGTCAGCTAGCGTTCGATGACTAGGAGGAGGCCGAATGCATTTCGAATAGCATCGAGAGCCAATGCTCTCCAAGTACCCTGTCAATCGACTCCGTCCATCTGGACGAGGAAGCGGCTAATCTGTCCGCCACATCAACAACGGTTGATCCACTCCCTCCCGTTACTATCGATGAGGTAAAAACCATCATCGAAAATTTCAAGCCTCGAAAAGCGCCAGGTGCTGATGGCATAAATAATAAGGTATTTAAAGCCCTTCCTCCAAAGCTGATTTGCCTCCTAGTGGCTATTTTCAATGTTTTATGTCCACCTGCACTTTCCCAGATTTGTGGAAAGAAGCAGAAGTTACCGGTATTCCCAAACCGAACAAACCCAGAAATAGGGCATCTATAAACCCATCAGTGTCTTCAGTGCCATGGGGAATATCTACGAGAGCATCATCCTCAGCCGTCTGAAGGATAAAGTGCTTGATAAAAATCTAATTCTAAACGAGCAGGTTGGCTTTCGAGCCAAACACACAAGTGTTCAGCAGGTGCACCGCCTCACGGAGCACATTTTAGATCAGGACGCAATGTCGAACAAGCGCCCTGCTTATGCACGAGCACTGTTCTTTGACGTGGCCAGGGACTTCGACAAAGTCTGGCAAATGAACTAGTCTTCAAACTTATCCATGCAGGTGTGCCTATAAGACTTGACAAAATCATTCAAGACTTCCTTGCTAATAGATCCTTCTGTTTTCGCGTTGAGGGTACTTTCTCCTCTTCCAGACCCATCAGAGTAGGAGCGCCCCAGGGCTCTGGGCTCTCACTGACCCTATACTCACTCTACGTAAGTGATATCCCTTCGTTACGAAGTACTCATCTTGCATATACACAGATGATACAACCATCTATTTCTCTGATATCCATCCTATCAGTATCTGCATTCGGCTTCAAGCTGTAACAAAGGTAGTAAGCGATTGTTGCAGAAAATGGAGAATCGCATTGAATATAAGAGTAAAGCCATCTTTTTCAATAGGAGGCATGCATACTCGTATCATAAATTAATGCTAAATATCAAAAAACACGAAAAAGGCGCGATCTCCCTCTACGTTAACCCAATCCTGTGGGTCCGGGAGTTGAAATGCCTGAGGCTAACTTTAGATTGTGCAATGAGCTTCTCTCAGCACATTTAAACAGTTAAGAATAAGGCAAAATTTGTAGTGTATCGTCTTTTCGCCTTAACCAATAAAAGCAGTAAGTTGTCCCTGAGACACAAACTGCATCTCTTCAAAATCTGCGTACGTCCTATTATGACATATGCGGGTGTGTCTTTAGCCCACGTCTCCAAAAAGAGTCTCCAACAGCTTCAAGTTGTTCAGAATAAATTCCTGCGTCAAATCACGGGAGCTCCCTACTATGTGAGGAACGCGGATCTCCACCGCGACCTCGACATGCTCTCCATCCATTTGTATCTTAAGGAATTATCCTTAAGATATTTCGATTCAATAAAAGAGCACAAAAATCCGATGGAGAATGAGGCGGGCTCGTACTCCCCAGTGAGGGATGCTGCCCCCGTCCACGTCCTAAGAACGCTCTACTTGATCCCAACGACGAGATCACTTCCAAGAATAGGTCGATCCCGTCCCCCCTCCACAGAATATTGAACCCGTTTGGATAACATTAACATACACCCATACACACATACACACACACACACACACACACAAACACACACACACACACACACACACACACACACCCACACACACACACTCAGACAGTACTTTAGTACAGAACACTAGGGCACACCGCGTTCGTCGGCGAACAGACACACCCCGTACATGAGGGTCAACACCCGTGATACGGGGGTTTCTAATTTTTGCGACCCGTAACCGAAATTGCGATAGTGATTCAAGCCAAGGTTCGTACCTCTTTCTGAGGGGCCCTTGAATCGCATGAAGCCCCCCCCCTCTCCCCTAGCTTGAAGAGCCTAACTCCGAAAGCAGGACTGCGCTTCGCGCCCTTCGCCGCCGGCAGAATCGATGCACTCAATAGCTTGTAGGTCTTCGCTTACGAGCCTATTTCGATGAAGCTGTCGAGACCGCAGGGCCAACAGCGTACACTTTCAGAAAATAAAATCAATCAGTCTTTATTTAGAATTCAGTGTGTGAAAAAATAATGAATGGCTTTAACACTAGCAGTTATAATTGCGCTTATTACAATATTTGCGTTTTATTGTCGATTAAGATATGATCACGCAGGACGTTTACTGTCTCGCATACCTGGGCCTCGAGGATGGCCCTTTTTGGGAAATGCTTTGACAATTTTGGTTTCTTCAGGTAATTAACTTATTATAGGGTATTAATTGAGTTTCCATGTTTAATGATTATCGTGTTTAGAAAAATGAGCTCATTGTCGTAAAATAATATTTGAAATACTTCTTTTCTTCAGTATTTCTTAATAAAGTAATGTTGTTCAAACGAATATTAATTAAAAATAATTCCGTTCTTTTGACCTTAACATTAGAAGTTAAAAAAATTTCAATATGTATATTTAATAGATATATTTATAATAGGTATATTTAATGCAATATTTCTCTGTTTTGACTCATATTATTTTTAGAGCAAATGCTTCTGCTTCCAAGATCTATTTATCGTATGTGTGGAAATATAAGTAAATTGGAAGCATTTGGTGTAAGAGTTGTAAATGAACATAGTGCAGACGATGTTGAGGTATGTACAGTTGTTTGTCACTTTTAGTTTTATTTGAAATGTAATGTACCGTCTAGTGGCGGTGTTTGCATATCCAAGGATACCCCATATTGTCCAGTACGTGTCGTAAGAGGCGACAAAGGGAAAGAAATTAGGAAATGAGCAACAGCTTCTTGAAAATTGCAAAACAACAGCGTCTTTTTAATAACAACTAGAAAAAAAACTGTGGTAGTCAATCAACCTGCAAATCATGAATACCGACCTAAAGAAACGGACCCCAGTCTCCGCCGTACAAGCCATTCCCGGCTACGTTTTAGACCATGGTAACGGCAAAGCAGGCGATATCGGTGGCCATTATAGACGAGTGGATTGAGAAATGTTAGACGCATACACTCATTGGACTGCTGAGATGACCTTGGAGCTTAAAGAAGAGATAGAGAAGTTGAGCTGAAATATAATAGGAGGACATGGTAATTTCAAGTTAGTCAACTTGTTTTGTCACCAGGGAGATAACTGTTTGTCCCAAGGATTTGTTAGATTAAGCACGTTGGGAAGCTTCGAAATGTCTGGGTTGCGTACCCTATACACAGAATCACCAAACGGTATTCGTTTTAGGTTATGCAGGTACCAATTCGAGCATATTCTGATGGAGAGGTGGAGGATATGTACGAGTATGAGGATAAATTTTAGCGTCATACTTACCTTTAGACCCAAGTCGTGTTTAAGTTTTCAAATAAGTGTGCCTCCTCTATATCTTGACAGCAAATACTAACTTTAAGTGAAAATGAATGCGTGTTGCCACCTGCGCCAATTTTTTTGCTGAATATTATATTATATAAATCAGTGCCATTATCTTGACTGCGCTTTGATTTCACCTTAGACAGCATATCGTCATAGTTATCATCATTACAGTCCATCACATGTCCACTGTTGAACACAGGCCTCCCCAGGGAATGCCACAAATCACGAATTAAGCCACCTACAGCTCTTACCAGGTCGTCACACCATGTAGCGTGAGGCCACCGTATACTTCACTTAACGGTACGGCTGCCGCTCGAGGATTTTTCTTCCCCATCGGTTGCCGGTTCTTTGAACTATATAGCAAGCCCATTACCACTTTGGCTTACTAATCTGTTGCCTTATGTTGGTTAAGAGATTTTGTCCTAGGTGAATATACTCATCAACAACTTCGAGTGTTATGCTCCCAACAACTAAGGGTGTGACATGGAAATTACGCATAATCTTGTTTTGTCCCTAAACAGCAACTACCACTAAATTATAAATATCTTATTTTTTATATTATTTAGGTTTAAGAAACAGATCGTTTGTTGATAATTTTCAATAAATCATTCCAGATTTTATTTTCAACGACTCGATTCAATAGAAAACAGGATCCTTACACATTTCTAAAACCTTGGCTCCGCGAGGGTTTATTAATAAGCAACGGTAAATATTTTGAAATTATTCCTTGCCACCAACGTTAGACTATTCATTATATAATTTTTCACCGTGGTGTAAGATTAAATTACTACTAAGGAAATCTCATTAAATTATATTGTGTCATGGAAAAGATGACCGAATAGATATCTTAAAATAAAAATCTAAAATCTCCAGACCTGTAAAGAAGAACAACAATAACAACAGAGGATTGTGTTAATGTTGTAGTAGATAAAAAAGTTACACGTTATATAATATTTTATGTAAATCAAGTAAGTGAACAAATTGTAATGAACAAGCCTGTCCAATCTATGATTTTATATATGGTGAGATGATGATGATGTTCATTTTATCCTCTACAGAAAATTAATAAAAATGATAACCTGAAAAAATAAAAATAAAATTTACTAAATGGAAACTTACATGCCAATATTTGCATCGTGGGTAGCATTATCATGATGTGGTAAAAATATCTAGAGCTTAATTTTATCTCTGTTAATCTCAGGTTTCACTTTCAGACTATCATTTGTTCGTTATAAATATTGAAGGCGGCAAGGGTCATTTAAATCGTATTTGCACTTGCAGCGCTGATTATTGTGTAACTGTTTGTTTATACAGTTTTGTACTTCGAGACTTTTAATGAATTAAGATTGTTTTATAAACAAAAGTAATTACATGTTTACACAAATATGAATAAAGATAACACTCACATATAATGACGGCTAGAGTTATTTGACCTATTCCATAGATAAATGCATTGCTGTTGTGAGTGGGATAATTATATTTACTTTAATTATATTGCCTGATCTTTTTTCACATACCCAAAATATTTTTGTTTATTTGTTCATAACTTATAACCTTTCTTATTGAAGCAATTTCATTATTTTGGTTGATATTTCTTGAAAATGTCTCATCGTAGTAATGCAGAAATCAGAAATATTGACATTGTTGCAATCGTTGCCAGAAGATCAATCGGATAGTGAAGTTGAAGGTGTCTCATTACCACCAGAAATTGAAGATAGCGATTCATATATTCTTTCGTCTACTGAGTCAAGTTCTAGTAATGATTCAGACAGTAATATGCTGTTGATTACCATTCAACAACAAACTAGGAGAAGATCGTCTCGGCGACGAAGAGTACGTGGCGTCGAACATCATTTTATGGCAATACCTTTCAAAATATTATGATGTCACCGGGTGGAATATTGTGGAAATCCATTTTTGAAAATGGCTCAGAGGTGATAGGTCACCGAGGAAGGTATAATGTGACTGAACAGCCATTAACTACCAGCTATGCATGGGGGCAAGTTGGAGAGAAGTTCATGACAGCCTGGAAACTTTTGATAGATTATACAATTTTACGACACATAAAAATTGTACTGCGGCCGAAGCAAATCGTCGGCTTGGTCATTTATGGTATATTTCCCTAGAATAATTTGAAAAATTCATTTCCATTCTGTACGTTATAGGTTGTTTTCTAGCGAGAAACATTTACATTATATTTACAGCTGTGTTTTTTAAAGGAGAGGGTGCAAACGAGCATGCGGCTCACCTGATGGTACGTGACTACCGCCGCCCATGAACAACTGCAACACCAGGGGAACCAGGGGAATTGCAGATGCGTTGCCGGCCTTTTAAAAAGGAGTAGGCTCTTTTAATAAGGGTCCCTAAGTCGTATCGGTCCGGGAAAAGTAGTAGGAAGTCGTGCGAGGAAGAAAACATCTTCTAAATCGCACAGTGGTGGACCGCCAATCGTCCAGATGGTGTGGATGGTATCGGGAGTTCTGCCGTGATGTGCGTTCACGGCTGAATTTACGCTGCTGGGCGGCTGGGATTAATCCGAACAATTCCTTCGCATTCACCGTGGTAAATGCGAAAGAATATGCAAAGAGATGCAACATCTCTGCGCAGTGTCAATGAATCGAGCCGATCGGAAAGGACTCTTTCGCCGACGATTCGAGCCGCTTTGCGCTGGATGCGGTCAAGTGGAAGGAGCTGGCACTGGAGAGCCCCTGCCCAGAGATGGGAACAGTATTCTATTTGAGGCCGAACCTGCACCTTGTAAAGTTGCAGGAGTTGTGCCGGCATGAAATAGTGTCTCGCACTACTGAGCACGCCAAGCTTTTTAGAGGCCAATTTGGCCTTCCCTTCCAAGTGACCACGAAACTGCACACTATTCGATATGTCGACGCCAAGGATTCCGATACTAGCTGAGGCAGCAGGGGGAGTGCCTTGAAACTGAGGAGATACGACAAAGGGTTCTTTTTAGCGGTAAACGCGCAAACTTGTGTCTTCTAAGGATTAAACTGGACTAGATTTAGTCGCCCCCAATCCGAAACTTTGTTCAGCAAAGACTCAACTTCAGACACAATTTTATTCCGTTACTCGGCGACGTTTTCCTGAGAAATATTGGCACGGCCGGTGTATAGAGCATCACCAGTGCTGTCAACCACATATCAATAAATGTTACCAGTTAGCAACATATCATTGATATGCAGAAGAAACAGCGTTGGTGATAGCACACAGCCTTGTGGAACACCAGCGTTAATAGGCTTGTAGTCGGAGCATGCACCGTCTACAACAACTTTGATGCTCCGATTTGCAAGGAAGCTCGTGATCTAATTGCACAATTTCTCGGGAAGCCCATAGGACGGGAGCTTTAAAAGAAGCGCTTTGTGCCAAACCCGATCGAAGACCTTCGCAATGTCCAAACTTACGACCAACGCCTCCCCCTTGGACTCTACTGCCTCTGCCCATCTATGGGTCAGGTAGACCAGTGCCTGCAGTTTCGACATAGATACTTGGACGGGTCTGAGCGGTCGCCTTTTTTTGGGATCGGGTGGACAAAAGCTGTCTTCCATGAATTCGGGTCTACGCCTTGGGAGTAGGAGTACCGGAAAAGACGCGTTAGGACCGGTGCCAACTCCGGAGCACACGTCCTCAACACAATTGGGGTATTACGTCAGGCCCACTCGACTTCTGGATGTCCAGGGAGAGAAGTGCTTTGCAAACCGAGCGCTGTGAGAACAGCACATCCGGCATGGAGCATTCACACCGCGGGATGGTCGGCGGTGTTTTCCCCCCGTCATCAAGAGTCGAGTTGGACGCAAAAAGGGAGCCTAAAAGGTCGGCTTTGTCTTTTGCGTCTTGGGCCAGTGAGTCGTCCTCCCTGTGCAGAGATGGTAGTGATGGCTTACAGAAATTCCCTTTGTACAGCCTTGGCAAGAGACCAGAATGCACGGGTTCCCGAAGGAAGGCGAACTAGTTTCTCACGCATTCTGCCTATGTGCTCTGACTTTGCCTTGGCAATAACTCTTTTGAAGGACCTGGAGGCGAAGTTTTACTTCTTTTTAAGTATGCTGGTGTTTACATTCCGAGTCGCCGAAGCTGCAGCCCAGGCTTGATAACATTCCTGCTTACTGCATAATGCAGTCTTACAGGAGCGAACAAACCAAGGCTGAGATCTGCCTCCTATGGGTACCACAGATGATGGAATAAATAGTTCCATTCCCTGTAGCACCACAGCAGTGACAGAGTCAGCAACAGCACTGGGATCATCCGGCGAGAAGCAAACCCGCCCCCAAGGGTAGGAAGCAAAGAAAGACCGCATTCCGTCCCAATCCGCCAACCTGTAATGCCAAGCATCGCGGCAACCTGCAGAACGCAACCGCGAGGGGACCGTGAGTGGCACCACACTACGGATCAGACAATGATCTAAGAGCCGAGGGGCATCGACGGAAACCTGATATCCGTCCGGATGAGAGGTCAGCAGAAGGTCCAACAGGGAAGGTATATGATCCTCTACATCTGGAATCCGCGTAGGCGAAGTAACCAGTTGTGTCAGAACAAATGCCAAGGCAAAGTCATAAACAGATCTCTTCGCATGATCGGTTAAACGTAAACCAAGCCATTTGGCGTGGTGGGCGTTAAAATCGCCAAGGATCACGATCTCTGCGGACGGGACCTGTTGTAGCAATAAACCTGTAGCCATTTCGACGTGGTCGATGAGTCGGTCTGTTTCGGCATTACCGCTATGGGACCTATAGAGGCACACGGAATCGCGCGGATGGTCGTCGCTGTTTACGCGTAGCCAAAGAATGGACAGGTACGAACCTTCAAGACTGCCGAGGCATCGAGAACAGATGTCCTCTCTGACATACACGCAAACTCCAGCCCGAGGCACAAAGGAGTGCTCCAATTTGTACCCCGGGTATGAGAGATACAAAGTATTAGCCTGAGAGCACACCTGCGTCTCGGTCAGAAAGGTCAAAGTCTCGAGATGGTAGTGGACGGCAGCGGCAGTTTGTTATTGAGTACATTACATGATAGTGTTCATATACACAGTGATGATGTCAAGAAAAAACCTGAAACTGTTATGTTTTACAATTCAACTAAATATGGTCGTGGTCGATCAAATGGCGAGGAGATACAGCACAAAAGCACCTTTTAGAAGATAGCCAGTACAAGTAATTTATAATATTTTAGATTTATCTGCAAGAAATGCCTGGGTGTTGTGACAAGAAATAAACAACAAGAAAATACGAAGAAGAGAATTTATTCTACAATTGGCGGTTGAACTGAGTAACATTTTAGAAAAACCCACTCGTGAAACCTCACTGCAACGTTCTATCGCTTCAGAAATGCCAGCAGCTGAGTTGAGGAAGAGGCGTAATTGCTATCAAAGTCGTAGTAAAATTAAAACTAATAAAGTGTTTGACTTGTGCAAAAAACCACCATGTGGCAGATGTAATCGATCTAACATATTCATATGTCATAACTGTAAATAACTTTTAATTTAAACATATATTTAAACTGGAAACCAAAAATATTTCATTTGCCTTTGTAATAATGAATATTGTCTACTATTTCTACTATTACACTACACATATATACATAACTAGAGACTAGGTAATACATTTTAAATAGAATAACAGAACTATTAAAACACATTTTTACCGCAGTTAAGAAACGAAATAAAGTGAATAGACGTAAAATAATTAGTTAAGTAAAATCCGACAAATATATCAATAAAATTATAGAACAAGGCAGGAGCGATATGTTCTTAGATTATTAATAAGTAATCGCGCGCTCTTACTAGATACCGCGCTACCTGAAAGTAACAGCTCCATGAATGCGGCATCTCAATATTGTAGTGTGTATAAGACAATTTGCAAGGATGCCAGTGTGCGTATAAAATTAAATATGCCAGCAGCTTAACTATTACCTGATTAATGGGAAAATTTATTTCATGCTATGGCTTAGTAGTTAAGTTCATAGTTGTGAATGTATTCCAGAAATACTTAAAAATAATAATTTATTAATAACGAATATTATTAATAACGAATGTAATAATGAATACTTGTGTATATTATATATAGGGTTTTCTTCTGAATAAATGACATATAAATGATAAGGCCTCATTTTTACCAGTTAATTTTTTGTTGTTTACATGTCTAACTAATATTCACAAATTATTAAAAAAAATAGTTATATGTATGGTGTACTCAATATAGTGCTTTCTATTTCTAATCTTCGTCAATATGAACCACTTTTACTATAGATCTATCTTAGAAATTACAAGAAAAATCAGGTTTTCCATACATTTTGAACAAGTTTGTACGAAATTTTGTATGGAATAACTTTGACTGAGATTTTTTATAGGATCAGGGTGACAAACGAGCACACAGTCCGCCTGATGGTAAGTGGTTGCTGCGGCCTATAGACATCTGCATCTATCCCCGATAACAAATCAAAATGCAGATGCGTCGTCACCCGTGAGGACTAAGATGGAATGCCTCGTTTCCAGTAAAAAGGGTCTCCGGTTCTCTACACTCACCATACGAAACACAGCAGCATTAAAGTGCTATTTTACGCTGGTATTCTGTGAGAGCGTGGTCCTTCCCCAGTCGAGCAGACCCATTCGTGCTACAACTATATTATAAATATAGCTGCAGTTTGGCTCTACCACGTACAAAAGTTGTAGGCAGTGACATAATCACGTTGCTGTAGAAACCTTAGTATTTTGATAAAAAAAATGAGACAAGTAGTTTTATTTGATATATTCAATACCAGACATTTGAAGAAACATGGATTTAGTCATCCTATTTATGGTGGAAAAAACTTAATATCCTTAATTATTTAGAACATGCGAAACAATATGTTATAAACTTAAATATTACAACCTCCAGAAAGCTTTCTTTTAAAGAAAATAAACAAGTAACAAAAGAAAATAATGATTAAAAGTTGTAAACCAGTTTTAAGTACTGAAGCAAATACTGGATTTTTAGGAATGTCAGTGTATATTGAAAGTCTCAAACAGATAACTAATCTTGTTATCTGGCGTCATCATGATGAAAGACCACTCCTTTTCTAATTATCAATGCCGACCGTTTTCTTTTCTATTTTTTGCTTGTCTCATTATTTGTTGGTGGAAGAGATCCGAATCGATGATTTTACCCGGCGGTAAAAGCTCACGCAATAAAATGATGCTATATTTGAGCTGTAAAAGCTCAAACACAGTATCATTTTATTACGTGTTAATCCAGGTTTCTCTTTCTCAACAAAACACATATCAATACAGAAAAAAATCACGTTTATTGTATGGGCTTCGTACAAGAAACGTGATTATTAGGGTCTTTTAATATTTTATTTTATTTTATTTTATATTGTTATAGCAGCAATATAAATACACATTCTATGAAAATTTCAAGTATCTACATATTACGGTTCATAAAATACAGGCTGCTGACAGACAGACGGAACGATAGTGGAGACTTGGGTCCTGTTGATACTCTTTGGGTACGGAACCCTAATAAACGGAAATTAGGTCATTTGAGCAATACTACAGAAATAAACATTAAATAATATAGACTTAGGTTAAACTAAAGTTAAATATATTATATTATAAAATATAGTAACAATAAATTCACATATAAAAATCTCAACTACGAGGAACTTTATTTTTGTATACGCGGCAACACTGAATTGCGTCATTCATATTTGTGACTTATATATGGCTTGTGTTATGTTATGTTGAAATTTCGAAATTGTATGATACTTAGTGATAGTATGTGAGCCCAATGTATTTTGTATTTCTTGTAGTATTATTTTTATACAATTTCACTACGTAAACTGGTATTTTAGTTCGGATTATGATCGAAATTTAATAAGTTTTTAGTATAAGTAGTAGTATCTAATAAAAATTGGGTGCAACGCGACTGGCACAGAGTACTTTTTATAGCAACTGGCTCGGGTACGCCGACTTCGGCGTAGTATTTGTTGCCGCATTTTACAAGAGCGCCGGCGGTATCTAGTCAGAGCGCGCGATAGCTTATCAGTAATCTAAGGATATGTTATAAATATTTCAAACACTTATTGATATTCAAATATTATAGCAAACTTTTACAAGAACTTATTCTAGATTCCACATAAAAATAATTGTTTCAACTAGTGAGTAGCGAGTAGTGACTCAAGTAATATTTCAATTCCTTAACCACGTTATTCACGTAAACCACAACTTCCTTAAATTATCCTGAGGTCGCCCGCGTAAACCAAGAGTGTGACGAATGAATCTGTATGGGGTTATATGATTGTATGAATACTTTGAACAAGGCCAACAATAATTACTTACTAAAAAATAAGTGAAATTAATAAGTAAGTAAGTAAGTAAGAAAGATCCTCCCTGCCTATCCCGTAAAAAAAAATTAAAGCTGTAGTAGTAATGCATATAAGTCGTTTTCTTCATTTTTCACACTTTCGCAGCTGAAACTAATTAAAGCTGCCCATAACTATTATTTTTGCTTATTCCAAATTCAAGCAAGCGCCATATTGTTTTTTTAGGAACATAGTCTTGATATTATTGCCAAAATTTGTTATGACCAATGACATTCCCTAAATAAAGATGAATCTAAACTACATACGTACCTACATATATACATTCATTCACACATACATACATATATCATCATCATCATCATCATTACAGCCTTTCACAAGTCTACTGCTGAACATAGGGCTCCCCACGGAATGCCACAAGGTGCGGTCCTAGGCCACCTGCATCCATAGACTTCTAGCATGCCTTACCAGGTCGTAACTCCATCTATTGGGAGGACGCCGCCCATACTTTGCCTACCGGTATGAGGCAGCCACTCAAGTACCTTTCTTCCCCGTTGATTGTCAGTTCTTTGAGCTATACGTTACAAATAACGAAATTCGGCTATTGCAAACTGGCATATTATAATAATTGAATTCATTTGTATTTATTTTTCGTGGATTTTGTAGTACTGGTGTACCAAGATTGCATAAAAAAAAAAAAGAGAAAATGACGACTAAATGAGGCAATGACCATTACAAACAATTAATGAATTCGTTTAAATAAATCTATGCTTATTTTTATATTATCTTTTATTTAGAAATCAAATATTATTTTCTAACTGCAGTGATGGTGTAACTGCTTGACTTAGTTTTCTATTTTTGCGATATTAGCAGTGTTAACTTCAAAAAGTATTATTGTCTTTTGTCTTGTCTTTGTCTGAAGTTCTTTTTACATATACAGTACATATACATAAATATACATCCAGCAACACACACACGTACACAAAAAAATTTCTGAGGTATCTAGATAGTAAAACTATTAACTCAAAGTTTTAATATTTTTTTCATTTGTGCTCGTCTCGACAGGTGAAAAGTGGCAACAGCGAAGAAAGCTATTGACCAAGGCCTTTCATTGTGATTTCCTTAAAACATACGTTCCAACATTTAACAAGCAAACTGAACATTTGCTATCCAAAATACAATGTGAAGTTGGTAATGATCAAACAGAAATTCTGCCATTGATATCAAAAACTACACTGAAAATTATGTGTCGTAAGTATTTTGAACTTGATGTATACGCTAAACAAATCATTTTAATTGTCAACAAACTCCAACAGGCTCCACGCCACTTTTTTAATTATTTAACAGCACTAATTAAATATTTATTATGAAAAGAAGCACCAACAGCACTCATGTTCATTACGTTACATAGATCCACCATTTATATTTCAAGAGTAAGCCCGATTTTTCGACGCGTCCTATCATGTACCACATTGGGAAAATAAATTTGTCACGTTATATTTTTATAAGCAGGTGCAATTTTTTAAAACAAAATGTTGCGCTTTAATAAATTATTATTGTGTCATCATTGATCATTCCAGCCCACTGCTGAAAATAAGTCTCCCCAAGGTATGTCGCTAAGCACGGTAATGAGCCACCTGGATCTTTAGATTTTCTGCAGCTCTTTCCATCTAGTTAGGGGCCACCCTACACTTAACTAATTGGGGCAAAACTATCACTCGAGAACCAATTTTTCACTATCAGTTGCCTCGTGTTCGAGCTATATGGCCGACCGATTGCCACTTTAGCTTACTGATCCCCTTTACTAAGTCAGGGAAAATTGAAAGTATGTGATATACCGTATCCTTTAAAGACCAGTAGCTTGAAAACATCATATACAGTTGAATAGGTTTTGTACTTTGGTCCTGTACCCAGATATTGATCTTAGACCTTTTGTATAAATACTTCAGCATAAAGATATACCGATAGTCAACTGAAGGAACTGTAGCATTGCCCAAATTTCGACGGAAGCAAAGGATTTCCACATACGCAAAGTGGAAAATTGTACTCTTCGGTCTTCTGTAAAATTTGCCTAAGAGTATACAAGTGGTACTAAAGCCTTTTCAAACACCAGCTTGTTCGGAAGGCTAGAACTCGTCGAGTCAACGTGCGAGACGATTCTAAATGACTCTCAAAAACGGCATGTAGACGCGGCACAGAAGGGAAATCGATCAGTTGTTCTTCAACAGAGCATTGTCGCCTTTCTTGAAGAACAAGATCACTCCACGTCTACTGCATGCCTCTAGAGTAATTCTGCCATGAAGAGTTTCTAAAGGACGTCTAGTGCCAATTTTATACCCGTTTTCAGAAGCTCCGCTGTAATTACATCCTCGCTCAAGGCCTTGCCTTTTCTAAAGTGCTGGAGAGCCATTATAATCTTGCTTACACTGACGTCCAGGATATCGTCGGAATGGGATCGAATAAAACTGGCTCTTGGATCGTTACCCACACTTACGTGTTGTTCCAATAAAAACGTGTACAGCTGCTTATAGAACCTCTCAATCTCACTCAAAATTCATATGTCCCAGAAACGTATGCTACAACATTCGGTCCAGTTGGCTCTTTTTTTGCAGACAGATCTCTGGCAAAGACTTTGGAATCTTGGTTCTACTCAATCGCTTTTTTAATACGATGTCATATTATCTACTAAAGACCTGTCTTACAGACTATACCGTATTTGGCGTCTAGCAGCTATAATATTAATAGTGTGCTCAGAGAGTTTTTGGGTTTTTCTACGTCGGGTCTTGCAAAGCTTAGCTACGACCGCATGGATAGTTTTCACGAGCTTGTCATTCATATTGCCCACTCTATTGCAGTCTTCTAGGCACTGAAAACGATTTTCTAACTCAAGATAAAATGTTCGGTGATTAGAGCATATGGATGACGGAGCGCTGACTTCATTAGACGTAACTTCTCCAACTTAAGTTTTAGGTTCAGTATGCCACTCACCATTCGGTGATCGCTAACAGGTTTTTTTTTTGCGATCATTAGTGTTAAATGTTGCCAGATAAGTCGCCTTAGGTAGCAACTGAACCTACACCTGAGATTCATAGCACATCCTGCCCCGCTATTACCATGGTCGCCACCATAGCTAGGTATAGCGGGGCTGCCGGGGATTGCGGGCAGTTTCTTTGTGTCGTAGCTCATGGGGGGATATTATCCATAGTCACCACCCTTAGCAAGCGGTTTGGCGTTTTTAATTGTGCTTTTGTTGGTATCAGAAAGATGCTGCTGCCCATCTCCTACCTCAGTTTCCTTATGTCGCTTCTAACGACACTGTCGATTATAACGACCGAAAATATGGGGTAGTGGATTTTCTTACACCGTCACAACAGGGTAAATTTAAAATTAATTATTTAAAATATTATTGTATATGGCATGTATATTATGCATCCAGTAGTTATGTCTTTTTGTATGTGCATTGTATATGTACATGTGCATTCAATATCATGACAAAAATAACAATGCTGTAATGTGCAGCACAATATTTTTATTTTCGAAAATGTAAAAAGACGGTGCCAACTTTTTGTGAAAACTACAATCATACACAACTTTTAGAACTATCTTTTCTAAGTCTGTTCATGAGAGCACATTTTGGCGTATATGTATTTAAATTAAGAATCCCAAATATCTAGCAGGGATAACATACTGGATATGCTATATTCCTGTAACATTAATCAGGTGTAGGTAATCAATCAATCAAACAGTGGTAGAGCTAAGTGGTAGCTTTTGCTGTCGCACGGATGGGCCAGCTCGAACCGGGGTGGTACCACGACCTCACAGAATACCAGCGTGAAGTAGAGGTTTACCTCTGCGTTGCGCTTGGTGAGTGCAGGTGGCCGGAGGCCCAATCCCCCCCCCCCATCCCCCATCAACATGGTAGTGGAATTAAATAAAAGACTACCCCAGGAGGGTACCAGCACCCCTGGAGAATCCCTCGCTGAGCATCCACGAACAAACTACTTCACTCCTGAGCGTGGGTGCTCAGGCTTCCCCGCGTATTCTGGAGGGGGGGGGGGGGCAAAATTTCGCACGTGACTAATGCTGCTCCGGGCAAGCGGAGCAATACAACCAAGGCGACCCCTGTCACGCTATCCGTGAATTTTTGCAACATCAGGGGACTTCATTCCATCCTTAACGCTGTCCATTACCATCTAGAGACGGCGAAGCCGGCCTTGCTCTTTTTAACCGAGACTCAGGTGTCCTCTCCGGCTGATACTTCATATCTCTCCTACCCGGGGTACAAATTGGAACACTCCTTTGTGCCCCGGGCTGGAGTTTGCGTATACGTCAGAGAGGACATCTGTTTTCGACGCCTCGGCAGTCTTGAAGGTACGGACCTATCCATCCTATTGCTGCGCGTAGACAGCGACGACCATCCCCGCGTCTACGGGTGCCTCTATAGGTCCCAAAGCGGTAATGCCGACACAAACCGACTCATCGACCACGTCCAAATGGCTGCAGACTCCGTGCTACAACAGGTCCCATCCGCAGAGATCGTGATACTCGGTGATTTTAACGCCCACCACGCTGAATGGCTTGGTTCTCGTTTACCGATCATGCGGGTATTTGCTTTGCTTTGGCATATGGTCTAACACAACTGGTTACTTTGCCTACGCGGATCCCAGATGTGGAAGACCATGTACCTTCCATGTTGGACCTTCTGCTGACCTCTCAACCGGATGGATATCAGGTCTCCATCGATGCCCCTCTGGGCTCTTCGGATCATTGTCTGATCCGGAGTACGGTGCCACTCACGCTCCAATCGCAGTTGCGATCTGCAGCTTGCCGCCGTGTTTGGCACTATAGGTCAGCTGATTGGGACGGGATGCGGTCTTTTTCTGCATCCTACCCTTGGGGGCGGGTTTGCTTCTCGCCGGAAGATCCTAGCGTTGTTGCTGATTCTGTTGCTGATGTGGTACTTCAGGGTATGGAACTTTTTATTCCATCCTCTGTGGTGCCCATCGGTGGCAGATCCCAGCCATGGTTTGGTCGCTCCTGTAAAATAGCATCACGCTATAAGCAGGAGTACTACCGGGCCTGGGCTGACGCATCAACGTCTCGGGATTTAAACACCAGCACACTTAAAAAGAAATATAACTCCGCCTCCAGGTTTTTCCAAAGCGTCATTGCCAAGGCAAGGTCTGAGCACATCGGAGAATTGGCGAGAAGCTAGTTCGCCTTCCTTCGGGAATCCGTGCATTCTGGTCTCGCACCAAGGCTGTCCAAGGGAACTTCTGTCAGCCATCTCTTCCATCTCTGCACAGAGAGGACGACTCACTGGCCCATGCCGCAAAGGGTAAAGCCGATCTGTTGAGCTCTGTTTTTGCGTCCGACTCTAGATAACGGGGGGAACACACCGCCGACCATCCCGCGATATGAGTGCTCCATGCCGGATGTGCGGTTTACACAGCACTCGGTTCGCAAAGCACTCTTCTCCCTGGACGTCAGCAAGTTGAGTGGGCCCGATGGAGTCCCTCCCATTGTGCTGAAGACGTGTGCTCCGGAGTTGGCATCGGTTTTAACGCATCTTTTCCGGTACTCCTACTCCCAAGGCGTAGTCCCGAATACATGGAAGACAGCTTTGTTCCACCCGATCCCTAAAAAGGTGACCGCTCAGACCCGTCCAACTACAGGCCTCTTGCCATCACCTCTTTGTTCTCCAAAATAATGAAATCCATTATAAACTTCCAGCTCATGAGGTACCTTGAGGATCACCAGCTGATTAATGACCGCCAGTACGGTATTCGTTGAGGTCGATCTAGTGATCTTCTAGTCTATCTGACTCATAGATGGGCGGAGGCAGTAGAGTCCAAGGGGGAGGCATTGGCCGTTAGTTTGGACATAGCGAAGGCCTTTGATCGGGTCTGGCACAAAGCGCTTCTTTCGAAGCTTCCTTCCTATGGGCTTCCCGAGAAATTGTGCAAATGAATCACCAGTTTCCTTGCTGATCGGAGCATCAAGGCCGTAGTAGACGGTGCATGCTCTGATTTCAAGCCTATCAACGCTGGTGTTTCACAAGGCTGCGTGCTATCACCAACGCTGCATATCAATGATATGTTGCTAACTGGTACTATTCATTGCTATTGTGACGCCTCATAATTATTATTAATAAATAATAATTAAATTCATTATACAGACATTTAAAAATGTCTTAGAAATTATAATTTAAACAATAAAATACAAATAATAAGCATAAAGTTCAAAAATATCCATTTGGAATATTGAATATTATAATATTAGTAAACGCATAAAATGTCTCTAGAAATCTCTAAATTTATTAAAAACCTGCTTAAAATGTTCAAATCATATAAATTTTAAAAGTTGATGAAGGTGTTCGTGTAATAATTGGAAAATTTCTAAGTTAATGAACGTGTTCTTGTAATGTTCCCTTATATTGGGGCGTTGTCGGAGACACATACCCAAGGTTGTACATATATATGGGGTGGTCGGCTGACCGACTGCTAGTACTAAGGTTGCACAATGACTAGTCCTATATTAGGGACTTAACATAGTAAGGTCTGACGAACCAAAGCATTAATATAGAAGGTCTCTATGATGCATAAGCATTATGATGGCAGAGTTATGACCTGAAGTCCCATATGAATAAGACATACAGTAGTATGGTCTATGAAATAAATCAAATATGTGGAAGGTCTCAAATATGTAAAAGCATTATATTGAAAGAAATGGGACTTGAAAAGGATTATTATAGTGGCGTGTAGGTTGCTGCGCAGCCTCTGAGACCGAGGTAAACTTGGACTCACTAACCGATGTGTCCTAGACATATCATCTTAGTGCCGGTGGTAAGCGGGTTTGTTGTAGCAATACGACTTGCCCGTGGACATCGCACACCCTACCGTTTGTGGGCGGCGTCTTAGCGCATAGCGTTATGATACGTCGGCTATCTTTCGGATTAGGGTGAGTGTGTTTGGTAGTACTTTTAAGTGCAGCAAGCATACTCAACTTCATGTCTTAGTGCAATAGCGCTATGATACGTGGAGTTTTGGCTACTGACGTCTTAGTACCGTACTACTATGATACGTTAGTGGTATTTTTAGTTAACAACATTATCAAATTTTGTTACCAAAGTCGATAGGGATCATGTGGGTGTGTTGTGAGGGGGCGCCATCCGTATGATAGTTGCATTGATGCTTACTGCTACTTGCAGTATTGTGTCTTGTGATGGATCTGCGGATGTGCTGCACCTGATTCGATGCATCTTGTGGTTCTGGTCGATGGAGGTATGCGGGTGGTGATGTCTGCTGGGACTGTATGGGGGACCTTGGGATGGTGTAAGCCCGACGATAGTCGTATTGATGCTTGTTACATTCTGTAGCATTGCGTCTCTACGATGGTTGTTTGGCGGGTCGCTATTCTCAATGGCGCTCTCTGCGTCTTGGTTTGATTCACAACCTATGTAGCTTTGCCCAAGTCGGGTCCCTTCATTGCGGGGCTGCAGACTGTCTGCCCTCCATGATGTTTTATATAACAACTTAATAATATATCTCTATAAAGTTCCCACCTTTGAGAGATTGAAGGCAACTTGTTGGTGGGTGAGACAAACATGATCGAAAAATGCATATACTCAACGTCAGAGACACAAACCCTTTCTGATGGCGAATTATTAATATTATCTTATAACTGCCTATTGGCTATATCTGCCATTGTATTGGTTGGTGGAGCATATGTGTCGACCTCATGCGGGTGGTAGCTGGAGGGAGAATCTGAGGAGGCTCTCAAGGCTGCGGCCGAAAGCCGCGCAACGTGGGACCCCATTCCCTTGAGGTGAGCGGTAGACTCATGACACGCTCTGCGGCCAATTGGCCGTGCTGACCATGCAATTGTTGGTGATGCCTTACACTTACATCACGTCTGCAGGAACGGCGGTCTGGCAGGTGGTGGCGATCACGGAAGGCTTTTTATGGTCAGTGTGCCTATTGTTGCCTAACCCGTGTGACGTACATTCACTGTGACTGGATTTGATCGTATTCTGTATGGCGTTTACACGCATTGACATGCGCGACTTCGGTCGATGTTTGTGCTTACGCACTATCAAGGTGCCAAGTCCTCTTTTACTGGTTCGCCAGTTATTTTGCTGTGGACTACGGTCCAGTTCCCAACTTTGCGTACCCTTCGGGGGGAGCGCATTAAAATGGTTGGCGCTCACCGTGCGCGGCGTGTGTGGGGCCGTGTACCTCCTCCACATTTTTTTTTTAAAATGTGGGAGAGCGAAGCCCTTGTAACTGGTATTTGATATAAATATTGTGAACCTTTTCCAAGCGGGAAGAGATTAATTAATAAGGAATTGACTGTTGTGAACCAGATATAAGTGGAATAGGGACAATTTATTGTTCTTAACCTTTTTGAGCTCTGTCTTCGTGAACGGGGTTCTTTAGCTTATAAGACTCTACCAACAGCTTTCGATTGCTCTCGTGAATATTCATTCTTCCAAGATACACCTAAAAGAACTAAGTTACTATACAAACCCAACGTAAAAAGGGGTCCTAACTAAGACGATCACGCCATAAATTTATTAAACGGCCTATATTTAAACCTTTAGAAAGATCAAGTTATACTGGTCACGTAAATTAGATGTATTTATATATCTTACAGATATAGATTCTAAAGAAATACAAGTATAAGTGGGATATAGTAGAAAAGAAAAAAGATGGGGGGGGGTTCGTTACACTATGTAGACGACAGCACTGGTGATGCCTTATATACCGGCCGTGCCAATATTTCTCGGGAAAACTTCGCTGGGTACCGGAACAAACTTGTGTCTGAAGTCGAGTCTTTGCTTAACAAAGTCTCCGATTGGGGCCGACTAAATCTAGTCCAGTTCAATCCCCAGAAGAAACAAGTTTGCGCGTTTACCGCTAAAAAGAATCCCTTTGTCGTATCTCCTCAGTTTCAAGGCACTCCCCTTGCTGCCTCAGCTAGTATCGGAATACTTGGCGTCGACATATCGAATAGTGTGCAGTTTCGTGGTCACGTGGAAGGGAAGGCCAAATTGGCCTCTAAAAAGCTTGGCATGCTCAGCAGTGCGAGACAGTATTTCATGCCGGCACAACGCCTGCAACTTTACAAGGCGCAGGTTCGGCCTCACATGGAATACTGTTCCCATATCTGGGCGGGGGCTCTCCAGTGCCAGCTCCTTCCACTTGACCACATCCAGCGCATAGCGGTTCGAATCGTCGACGACCGAGTTCTTTCTGATCGGCTCGATACACTGGCACTGCGTAGAGATGTTGCATCTCTTTGCGTATTTTATCGCATCTATCACGGGGAGTGCTCTGAGGAATTGTTCGGACTAATTCCAGCCGCTCAATTTCACTATCGCACATTGCGACAAAACTCGCGTTACCATCCATACCATCTGGATGATTGGCGGTCCACCACTGTGCGATTTAGAAGAAGTTTTCTCCCTCGCAAAACTTCCCTGTGGAATCAATTACCACGAGCGAATTTTTCGGACCGATATGACTTCGGAACCTTCAAGAAAAGAGCTTACACCTTTCTAAAAGGCCGGCAACGCATCTGCAATTCCCCTGGTGTTGCGGTTGTTCCTGGGCGGCGGTAGTCACTTACCATCAGGTGAGCCGCATGCTCGTTTGTTCCCTCTTCTATAAAAAAAAAAATCAAGTGTAGGATTGCATTGTTTTTAAAAGGCACAAGTTTCTTAAGTCGTAATATTTTAATTAACATAAGTTAATTTAATATTTCAGAAACATCAATGGGCACTTCAATGGATGAAGCCAAACTATCTATAGTAAATAAATATTTTGAAGCATTAAATGTGCTAGGTAGTATTTTAGCATACAGATACGCAAGAATTTGGTTACATTTAGACCTTATATTTAAATTTACTAAAATCTTTATAATACAAAATAAATCTATTAAAATCTTACATGAATTTACAAAACAAATTATACAAGAAAGAAAAATAGATTTAAAAAATAATACAACCAATGAATTCAATAATCAAAATGAAGTTTATGGAAGACGTCGCCTAGAATTTCTAGACATTTTAATTCAAAATGAAAAGGAGGGAAAAATAGATCTTGAGGGAATAAGAGAAGAAGTGGACACATTTATGTTTGAAGTAAGTGAAGTATTTCTTGAAATGACCAATTAATTGTCAAAAGCAAATAAGGCAATAGCTATGCTCTACAAAACTTTATTATTTAAAACCAAGTATAAGTATTTGGATATATTTGTTATTATATTTAATTTTTTTTATAGGATAAGGGTGACAAACGAGCACACAGTCCACCTGATGGTAAGTGGTTGCTGCGGCCCATAGACATCTACATCTATCCTATAGTACAAATCAAAATGTAGATGCGTTGTCACCCGTGAGGACTAAGATGGAATGCCTCATTTCCAGTAAAAAGGGCCTCCGGCCACCTGCACTCACCAAGGGAAACGCACCTCTACTTAACGCTGGTTTTCTGTGTTCTAAAAAAAAATTTCAACAATTTTTAAAGGAATAATAAACTTTAATAGATAATAGACATTAAATTCAGTTCAATTATACAATCTGTAGATTTTTATAACATATTAAGTGCTTGTAATAACTGGCTTAAAGTACCGGCACCAACATGGTAAAATTTAAATAAAGAAAGTGACTTATATGGAGAATTTGTTCATGTTTATCAAAAATATTTATTTAAGTACCTAAATAATTATTGATATATTATGTATTTCAAGGGTCACGACACAACAGCAATGGCGCTTAGTTTTATGATAATGAGGATTGCTAACGAACTGGAAATACAGGTGTTAAAAAATCTCTATATACATTTGATTTATATTTTAGTTAATTATGTATTATATTTTTTGTTCCATGTTGGTCTGGGAATGGGAAAAAAATAATGATAAAGAAATAATGATTCTTTTTTATATGATAAGAGCAAAAAACGAGCACACAGTCCAACTGATAGTAAATGGTTGCCGTGGCCCATATAAATCTACATCTATCCTCGATTACGAATCAAAATGCAGGTCACCCGTGATAACTAATATAGAATGCGTCCTTTCTAGTAAATAGGGCCTCTGGTCTCTACACTCACTATACGAAACACAGCAGCGTTAAGCTGCAGTTTTACGCCGGTATTCTGTGAGAGCGTGGTCCTTTTCAGGTCGAGCCGAACCATTCGTGCTACAACTATACCAGTAATATGGCATGTTGTGAAAGGCGTCCAATGGAATGTTTGGTTTGTGATTGTGAAGGTGATTAATAATTAATAAAATCAGCCACCTATAACTTTTTTTCAAAATTTTCAATCAAAATTCTAAACCCATATTTTGAGCTAATTATATTCTGAGTACCTTGCTGCTCTTTGTACTCTGCCTACAATCTCGGGGATAATATACGTGATGTTTGTATATTACGTTAAAAATAATAGATTTGACTCGAATTTCTTTCAGAATCAATTGGTCGAAGAAATCATTAATATATTCGGTGTATCTCAACGTGCACCGACAGTGGAAGATCTAAATAATATGAAATACCTTGAATGTTGCATCAAAGAATCCTTGCGACTTTATCCTAGTGTTCCATTTATGTCAAGCTTTACTACTGAGGATGTAACCTTAAGTAAGTTGCTATCTTAAATTATAAAAGTTATGACTTGTTAATTACACGACAAGGTTAAATGTAATGTAATCTTACCAAGACATTCAATATTTGTAATAACGATACGAGTATGCATAATATAGGTTTATTAATCTAAAAATTTAAGGCTCCAGGCTGACGCATTGACTGCGCATGGATCAGTAAAATAACATCAAGTTTTGACTTCTGACAGGTTGATTATGACTTTGTAAGTTGAATATAACATATCAAATGAGACGGCATAGGAAGCATAAAAGTTACTGGTTTTGCTATCGAGAAAGTGCCCGCTAAACGTGATGATTACGACTGATTTCGTGAACTGTAGTAGGCGCCCGAGTCCGTACAACGAAAGAAAAATATTTATTTATCTATACATCAGTACAAATAAATAAAATTGAAGTGTCTATTTGTATAACAAAGTAACGGCTTTTTATTAAATACACATAAAAGTGTATACGGTACTACGGTACAAAATTTTTGAAATGTTTGTCTGTCTGTCTATCTGTTTGTTCCGGCTAATCTCCGAAATGGCTGGACTGATTTACGGGACTTTTACTGGCAGATAGCTGATTTTATAAGGAGTAATGTGGTCTCTCTTATATAGGATAAATTAAAAGATCAATAAAAACTCGCGTTAAAGAACATATAGCTGATGTGAAGAACCGATGCTCCGGGAAGTCTGCAGTCTGTGAACACGTATATGATCGGCCCTGTCACCACATTAGATTTGATAGACCACAAATCCTCGCTAAAGAACTCCGATTCCTTCCAAGCATGATTCGCGAGGCTACTGAAATCAAAAAACATCCAAAATTCAACAGAGAAGATGTCTGAGTACTACTAGGGAGTGCCTTTAAACGGAGGAGATACGACAAGGGGTTCTTTTTATATATGTGTCTTTTTACATATAATACAAAAGTAAGATATAGTCACCTCATTTTTTGTTGATCAGATTAGATCCAAAGTCCTTAGAGTCCCTAGTTGTATGTTATATAATAAGGTGCACAAAATGTACAACTTTTAGTTTTTCCTAAACTGTTATGCCATTAAACGCACGCATTGACGTACGGGTGGATTTTATGCTTGTCTTGTTGATGTGCCTCGAACACATACAAATCGCTTCGCCTCATCGTTTTGCCATCTGATTGGAATTATTTAACTGCGTCAGTTGTATTGCCAAGATTTGCGACTTTTCATGGCAAGAGTAAATATGCATTTTCTAGGGTAGTGTATTTACCATCTGACACTTTATCAGTTATCACCTTAAAATACCAAATGTTCGAGCAAACCAAGATCGATCGTGATTGCAATTTAAGTGATGTGTACTTACTCAGTGATAGAGCAAAAAAAAAAACATTGAGAAAATCTGTATATCTTAGAAATTTAAAGCATTTTGAAGACATGAGAAATTTGCAAACGTGCAGTAGAGTACACTGCACTTCTTCATCCTCTTAGGAAACAAATAAGGCATATGTCTTACATACTAGAATATCTATATGATCTCTTAAAAGGTTTTTGTGCCAGGTAAAAGTGAAAGCTCGAAGCAAGAGTAAATAATTTATTTACAGCAGTGCTATCTGATGCTATATAATGTACTTAGCTGTTGTTTGTATTCAGTTTTGTGTTATTTGTTTAAGTTGTTAGTTAACTGCTAGAATATATCAATAATATTTATGTTTAGGCAAAATATTAACTGTTTGAAAATTGAATTCATAACGCACGCTCGGAGCGTGCATAGTACCGTAGCAAGGTCACCGCTGCCCCTCCGCGCGCTCGCGTTCCATTCGAAGTCGTGTCGAACGGGACGCGTCGAGAGAATCATTGTGAGGAAATACCGGTCTTCACCCTTAATTTGGCACTGTATGTGTACCGTCATACATGAAGTTAAAAAAAAAGATTTGTTAAAAAAATTACATCTTCCGTATGGAAAATTAACATTCTTATGTTGCAACACTATCTGTTATTTGGTAGAAAAAATAAACACACATGTAGCAACATTTATTTTAACATAACTTGAAAAAAGAGTTTTGGCGGGAAATTGACCGGCGGCGGTTTGCTGCTCCTGTATTATTGTTTAAATAATGGTTTGAAGTGGACTTTGATATGTAAAAGTGTTGCGATTTTGTGTATTAAGTGTCTACGCATGTGAACTATTAGTGGAAACAGTGAAACAAGTGCTCTGATGGTGATGGATTCTCAAGATAAGCTGTTTGTTTGCATAGGCACCTTTAGATACCATCGCCAACTATCAGCTGTCTGCTGGATCAAGTTGCCGCCAAAATCTCCCAAGAACTGCACAATGTGACGCATCAACATATTGTGAAGCAGTATACTATGAAGGAGTGGGGAAATTACAATAAACCGAATAAAAATACTTAAGACTTGGCCTAAAGGTCTAGATACCAGGCCATAAACTCCAAAAAAAAAATAACTTGAAAAAAAAATGGCTACCCGGCGGACGTCAACTGCGTTGTCCATGGTATTTATTCTATTATTATGAATATTACTTAGTTTAGGACAGGTGCAATGACTAAAATGTATGCTTTATTGTGTAATGGAATATGTGTGGTAATAATTGTGATGTTTCTATTGCATTGAATGGTTCTATTTTGATCACTAACATGATGTATGACGTGACATACACTGCCAAGTTTGTAACGAAACACCCGCGATTTTGTTTATATGTCACGGCATACATTGCCAATTTGAGGATGCTTTTTTTATTTACTTGGTTTTACAGCACGCTTTATTTTCTTTGTCGGCAGCAAAAATTTCTAACTCGTGGTGGTAGAATTTTAGTGCTTGTGCCTGCTGAGCATACACCCTCTGACGGTAGCGAAAGTTCTGACGATGAATTGTGCGTGTGCGCACCCCGTTTTCCGCGACATCTTCCATTTTAGATGATGATGAAGACCCCTCCGACCAGAATGTTCGACTCATACCAATTTTTCGAAGCGTATATTCAAGCCCGTCCCTAGAACCAAATTGTAAAAAAGTGCCAATCCTGAGTGACATTCCGTCACTCCCAGCAACTCCCGCTACTCCTGCAACCCCAGCAACCCCTGCACTTCCTGAACCCCCCGCACCGCCTGAACCAACAGCAAGTGGCTCCATAACTGGCTTAGTTGCAGTTCGCATAAGGGCTTCTTCCAAGTCGCGTACCAGAAATACCAGATCGCAACGGCCCACTGTTTCTGCTGTTAGACGACCTATTCGAATCACCAAATTCACTCTGAACTATCAGTGGAAAAAAAAACGGTTTTTCGACAAAAGACAACTGTAGAAGAAGACTCAAATCACACCGACATATTAAACGAAACTCGGTCACTCGGTTATTTCTATAAATTCTTTTCCCCTGACGTTTTAGTAGATACCGTAGAGCAAACAAACTCATACGCAGTATTCAAAATTGGGCGCTCTCTTGGCTTGACTGAAGATGAATTGCGAGATTTTTTAGCAATTCATATTATCATGGGTGTTATTAGTATGCCCTCGTACACCGATTACTGGAGTTTGCGGTACAGATACGATCCCATAGCCGATTTGATGTCTCTAAAACGGTATCAACAAATCCGTCGTCATTTGCATTTTGTTGACAAAATACAAGACTCAGACAGATAATATAAAGTTAGACCTTTATTACAAAAAATTCGAGAAAATTGCTTAGCTCAAGATAATGAAAAGAAATACAGCATTGACAAAATGATGATTCCTTATAAAGGAACCAAAGCGGGTAAGCGACGTCAATACATGAAGGATAAACTCAACAAGTGGGGCTTCAAAAACTATGTTCGTGCTGGAGTGTCGGGCATGATTTATGATTTTATTTTGTATGGTGGCGAGGACACATTTAGATTTCATACTTTTACAGATAAGGTAGTTTCCATTGGATTTGGGGCTCAGATTGTCATTGCTTTGTGTAAAAGTATAAAAAATAAACCGGCTTTTGTTTTCTGCGACAATTTCTTTACTTGCCCGGTGCTACTTTATATACTTAGAGAAGGCTATGGAATATTTGGATAGGGAACAGTCAGGAACAACAGGTTGAGAGGAGCTGAAGCAGTTCTGCCCTCAGAAAAAGATATGAAAAAGAAACCCCGCGGCAGTTATGCTCAAGTGGTCTGCGATAAAAACCGATTAGCAATAGTACGGTGGAACGACAACAAAGCCGTAACATTGAAAGTTCTTACGTAGGTGCAGAGCCAGTAGAAAAAATTAAAAGATACTGCAAGGACTCTAAAACAAAGTGGATGTAGATTGCCCTCAAATTGTCAAAGACTTTAATAAACATATGGGGGGAGTCGATTTAGCCGATATGCTCATTTCTCTTTAGAAAACCCCATTCAAGACCCGGCGTTGGTACATCGGCATATTTGCGCAAATTCTCGACATATGTATCAATAGATATTGTTCACTTTCCTGTGTAATTGTGAACAATCTTGAAAATAAGTCGTGTTTCTATCCGCTCGTTTAATAAAAGCTTGTAGCGTTTATTATCCTTGCGACACAATTTGAAGATTCGCTTACTGAGTGCTGATTACTTAGCGAATATCTCTCCTCGTCAAAGGTACGGGGGGTTTGAAGGCTCGGGCTACCCTGCAGAAAGGGGTCAAATTCTAACTGCGAGCAAATCAGAACATATAAAATATGAGTAAACAAATGTCTGTTCCTGACATTGTCAGTAAGACAATAAATAAAACCAATCCACAAACCAACATCAGTGGTCGACAACGTGTTAACAACCAAGGTGCGATAGGTAAAGAGAAGATGTACAGGACGAAAGCGTACACCTACCTGGAGAAAAATGGCACCATTGTACGAGTACCAGGAGCCACACCAATAGGTGATACCAGCGTAATTTATGGACCACCACCAGCACAGAAACTCAACATGATCAATTCCAAAAACCCTAAACCTAAGAAGATAGTACTCAGCAGTACTACGGTTTTGATCGTTGCTATCACCTATTTAATTTGCGGTGTGAATTGTGATTTAGTGTATAAAGTTACTAACAACGAGTGCTATGGAGAGAACACTTGCGCATGGCTCTCCAGTGCGAGCAGCCTTCCGTTGAAGTGCAATCAGTGCAATTGGGTCAGTGCAAGTGGACAATGAAAAGCATCTGATAGTTGGGTCGAATGGAATGGGCTTTGATTATTCGAAACTAATATACATCAATTCGACTACGAACGAACCAAACAATCTAATCGGACCAGACAAGTTTGCCCCTTTAGTAGAGGGCACTTTTCTATTGGAATTGCACAAAAATAATATTGGTTTTGCAAACGACCTTAACAAATTAAAAATACAAGAAGTTGTTTTCGAAAACAAATTTGAAAGTATTGAAACACTGGTGAATGATGAGAAAGGCCATAGACAACGAAATTCGGGGCTTGTCACGAATTTGAGTAGTACCTTTGAACAAAATAAGGTAGATGTTGAAGTCAATGTCACGTCTATTAGTGAGTTGATAAGAGAAACCCGAAATAGCATGGCCCAATTGGCCCGCAAGATAGAGAAACACAATAGTGATTTGTTATCGATTAAGGACCAATTGCAACAGATACAAGGCGGTATGCAAATTTTATGCAAAAATAATGCGTGGCTTCTATACCGACAAGATTGCTCAAAATCGCAAAAACAGTGGAAGCCTCTCAAGGATTTTCGATTTGAGATTTCTGAGGGGTTGACAAAGTTCGGACGCACCCGTACCGATAAACACACAAACCGTGTACCACAAGTCAACACGGTAGAATCGTCACGCTATGACAGTGTTGGCCATTTTATGACAATGACCAGCCAAGGTCGTTGTAGGCTATGTTCAAAGCTAACGTCAGTGTTATGTATAAAACGCCAAGTCCGTCTGTGCTTTGTAACCGGAAAAAGTTCTAGGAATTGTCAATTAGACTACCATGTGCGGGTTTAGTAAAGTTGGCCATTTCTAGGCGTTGTCACCTTGTTTTCTTTTGCATTCTAGAAGAGGCCTTTGCCCAGCAGTGGGACAGTAACATTCTGGTATTATTATTATCATTTTGTACTGTAATTGGCTCTGTATGTCCCGGCATACAACACATTTTCTTAATGTTTTTATGGGCACTTGGCAATGTATGCTGTGACATACATTGTTTTTCAGGAAATCTGAAGTTCCTATATTTTTTTCACTATTTTTTTGTAACACCTATAAATGTTTACAATAAATTTTTATAAAAAAAATTATGATTATATTACATTTTATTCTTTGCCAAATTAAGGGTTAACGAACGCGTGTGGAATTATAACGTCGATTTAAGTGCCTCTCATTTGCATGTCTTTTTTTGTTTGTTTTACGTGTCAACGAGGCTAAATTTTGAGTTTTGAGCGATTAACTAACGTCGTTACAATTAATTAACGTCAAGTTGTATAGTGGTTGCATGCATAAGTGCATTCTGACAATATTAATTTGTATTGTTGTAGTTGCTTTGTGCCATTTGATTTAACTCGGAGATATTTTCCTGTGTCGGTTAAAACCGCTAAACTTTGTGACCCGCGAGAACCAGCGTTCGTATTAGATTATAGATTTGTGCTAAGGGACGCTAGACTTTGAGTGAGACCGAGTGACACCGCTGGAGTAATACCACATAGCGTGGCGGTGCTGGAGTGAGGGTTGCTGCTGATTAAAAGGGGCTTATTCAGGTTAAACATATATACACTTCTCACACACTACTTATATTCACTACACCTAACGCCTGAACAAGCCTTGTGGTCCGTCTTCGCTTCTGAACCAGGTAAGTCGCATTAAGTACCTAATCCATATATATTAAATATCCATAGGCATTTGAGCCCCACACTTAGTTATCCGTCGAATCTAACAGCTGTATGGGCCCCTGTATGGTCGACCTTAGTCTGAGCAACTAGATGAGAGTACAATTTACGCGGCGTATACTTTAATTAAGTACTTATTCCTTTAGTATGTGTCCAAAAGGCATTGTCAATGTTAACGGGGTTGGCACTGAAACTCGGTGTAAAATGCTGAGCTGGGAATGACGAGTACACTTATCAAACTAAAGGACATTTTTCTTCAGTGATCCATTATAATATTTCTTATTTCATTGTATATAATTATAGATTATATTTATTATATATATTATTATTATATATGTATAGATAACTTAATAAGTTAAGGTTGTATTTTTGGTAATGTTACGTTAAGTTAGATATTTAAGATTTTTTTTATTTAATGTTAAATATCTTGTATATACGTCCATTTTGGGTAATAAATGTATTATCTTTCTTAAAAATAATTGGAACTTAATAAATACTTAAATTTTATTACTACCAGGTGGATATACGGTACCAGCCGGTACTTATTGTAACATCCACGTATATGACATTCATCGTCGTAAAGATTATTACCCGGAATCCGAGAAATTTATACCAGAAAGATTTTTACCGGAAACCACAAAAACACGTCATCCGTATGCATATATTCCATTCAGTGCTGGATCTAGAAACTGTATTGGTTAGTATATTATTCAATCTTTATTTCGTCGTTATTTTTTATTGTATTTTTATTGTATGATTTAAGCGCAAAATGACGTAGGTATGTTCTACTAGCGCCTAAAAATCAAGATTTTAACATTTTGTCGCATGAAATCGTATATAACAATCGTATTGAACCTATACATTATATAAAAAGCACATTATCATACAGGTAAATGATTGTTGAACTCAGTATTTTTTTAAATCGATTAATTGCTATTTTTACATAAAAAATTGATTTTAGTTGCTTATGGTGTAACAAATCCGTATGGAGGGATAAGCACTATAATTTTTAAAATATCAATTGTTCAACTAAATTCATTTTTAATCTCTTCATCTATCATGTGGGAATCCATTGAATGTAATGGCAGTTTAATTTTGTTTTTTTTTAGTTACAATTAATTATTTTCGGCTGAGAAATACCTAAATTTTCGGTGTCTTGAGCAGCTTTGTAATAATTTATTTTACTAAATCGTCGTGAGTGGACATTCCATCGCTTCTTTGCAGCGAAAAAGATCCTTGTAGAAATACAAAATATTCGAAAAACCGAATTTGATAAAAACTTGACAAATTTTTATTACAATATTTTGTTTCCCTTAAAGTACGTAAGATTTATATACAAATATACTTCTATGTCTTGGATTTTATGGAGTGACCTGACGGTGTACTTCGGTGAATGCTATTGGATCTCCTCGAAAAGTAGAACTAGTTGTGCCGTGTTTGTCCTCGTTTTGTTAGTTAAGATGAGACCTTACCTAAAGGCTTGATAGAGTGACCTGAAGGTGTACTTCGGTGAATGCTACTGGAACTCTTCGGAAAGTAGAACTAGCTGTGCCGAGTATGGTCTCGTTTTGTTAGTTATGATGAGATCTTACCTCCGGACTTGACAGAGCGACCTGAAGGTGTACTACGGTGAATGCTCCTGAAACTCCTCGATGAGTAGAGCTAGGTGTGCCGAGTTTGGCCTTGTTTTGTTAGTTATGATTTCCTTACCTCAGGACTTGATATAGTGATTTTTTATTGAAGTTTGACGTTAAATTATCGGAAAATTGGAAATATAAAATAAGGTTGTTGGTGAAAATTCGTGTATATTTAAAATACCTTAAAAATTTGACGTACAACCTGAGCGCTTATTTGCAGGCATGCATATTTGGATTTACAATATGTAAATATGTTTTGTTTTTATAATCCTTCTCTTGAAGTTATTATATCCCGTTGCTACATCTTAATGATAAAGCTTAATCTTATCATTTTACTAGGTAATTTTCTCCATCAGAATTTCACTACTGAACATGACTACACACACTATATATTGCCTCTTATTTTTTTTATAGGAGAGGAGCAAACGAGTATGCGGCTCACCTAATGGTAAGTAACTACCGCCGTCCATGAACAACTGTAACAACAGGGGAACCAGGTGAATTGGAGATTCGTTGCCTGTATTTTAAAAAGGAGTAAGCTCTTTTCTTGAAGATCCCTAAGTCGTATCGGTTCGGAAATATCGCTGGTGGTAATCGATTCCACAAGGAAGTTGTGCGAGGAAGAAAACTTCTTTTAAATCGCACAGTGATAGACCGCCACTCATTTAGATAGTATGGATGGTATAGCGAGTTTGGTTGCGATGTGCGATGGTAAATTAAGCGGCTGAAATTAGTCCGAACAATTCCTCAGAGCACTCCCTGTGATAAACGCGGTAAAATAGGCAAAGAGAGCAACATGAGAGAGCAACTGCGTAAAGCGCAGGGCCAGTGAATCAAGCCGATCGGAAAGAACTCAATCGTCAACGATTCGAACCGTTCTGCGCTGGATGAGGTCAAGTGGAAGGACCTGGCACTGGGGAGCCATGTGAGGCTGGACCTGCGCCTTGCAAAGTTGTAAGCGGTATGCTGGCATGAAATACTGTCCCGCTCTACTGAGCACGCCAAGATTTTTAGAGGCTAATTTGGCTTTCTCTTCTAAGTGACCACGAAACTGCACGTCACTCGATATGTCGACATCGAGGATTCCGATACTGGCTGAGACAACAAGGGGAGTGCCTTGAAACTGAGGAGATAAGACGAAGTGGTTCTTTTTGGCGGTAAACGCGCAAATTGGTGTCTTCTGAGGATTGAACTGGGCTAGATTTAGTCTCCCGCAGTCTGAGACTTTATTCAAAAAAGTCTCAACTTCAGACCCAAGTTTTTCAGGTACTCGGCGACGTTTTCCCTAGAAATATTGGCACAGCCGGTGTATAAAGCATCACTAGTGCTGTCGTTTGCATAGCAATGAATTTTAGTAGTTTGCAACATATCATTGATATGCAGAGGAAACAGCGTTGGTGATAGCCCGCAACCTTGTGGAACACTAGCGTTAATGGGCTTGTATTCGGAGCATGCACCGTCTACTACGACCTTGATGCTCCGTTCTGCAAGAAAACTGGAGATCCAATTGCAGAGTTTCTCGGGAAGCCCATAGGAAGGGAACTTCGAAAGAAGCGCTTTGTGCCAGACCCGATCGAAGGTCTTCGTGATTACCAAACTAACGGCCAACGCTCCCCCTTGGACTCCACTGCCTCTATCCACACCACTATATCTATGAGTTAGGTAACCAAGAAGATCACCAGCTGAGCGACCTCGACGGAAACCGTACTGGCGGTCATTAATCAGCTGGTGATCCTGAAGGTACCGCATGAGCTGGCAGTTAATAATGCTTTCCATTGCTTTGGAGAACAAGGAGGTGATAGCGATATGCCTGTAGTTGGACGGATCTGAGCGGACGCCTTTTTTAGAGATTGGGTGCACCAAAGCTGTTTCCATTTGTTCGGGACTACGGCTAGGGAGTAGGAGTACCGAAAAGACGCGTTAAAACCGGTGCCAACTTCGGAGCACACGTCTCCAGCACAATAGGTGGGACTACATCTGGCCCACTCGAATTGACGTCCAGGGAGAGGAGTGCTTTGCGTACTGAGCGCTGTATAAACAGCACTTCCTGCATGGAGCACTTATACTGCGGGATAGTCGGTGGTGTGTTCCCCCCGTCATCTAGAATAATTTTAATCTGGTAATTGCTATTGTTGCCTACCACGCTTGACAGGCGGTTCGGCAGCTGTAATTTTTTATTATTATTGTGTATTATTAGTGCTATTATCAGGAAAATGTTACTGCGCATCTTCTATTTCTGCAGCATATGCTGTAAAAAGATTAGATGCCTTACATGTGTTGAAACGGTTACATTAGTTTATTTTAATTATTTCCATAGCATAATGTCATATATTGCTATGGGTAATGCGACTGACATTGTAAGTATTTTAGTTTTGCAAAGGAGAGCCATAAGAGCAATTTATAATTAAGGTCAGAAGGAATTCCTTAAAGAAAAACTTAAGGAAATAAATATATTAATTCTCTCAACTCTCAGTATGTTAACGAAAATTTAATGTACTTATGTGTACAAAAATAAAAATACTTTAATTAAAAATAGTGATGTACAATCTGTAAAAACAAAAAGCACAAGTTAGTTATAGCAGTTACACGACTTCAACGAGTGAGTAATTAGCCGCGTCCACACTGGGCGCACAGGCGCGCGTGGCAGGCTCGTAGGCCAAATTCTCGTTCTGTGTGGACGTGCCTCGGGGTCATTTGAGCGCACGTTACCTCAACTGAACATGTCTCGGGGTCGAGCCGTCAGCTGTCGGTAAACGGGACGTGCTCAAAGGTGTCTACAGCCTCATGTGTCGTTCGATGTGGACGGTGGTTTTGACTCGCGAGGCTATTCTACAGATGTGTTGTTGTTTGTTATGTAGCTGTTTCGTAAAAATTTCATCATTATGAACACTCAAAAGTAGTCGATTCATCTAATTCAATTATACAGTGGATATAAGATGTTGTGAGATCCCAAAAAACTTAAATATTTGAAAAACAAGACGACAATTGGAGGAAAATTTTATAGGAAAAATATAATGTCAAACACATGAGTAATTTATTTCCATATTGACTGCAATGCTCATAAAGTTATTTAATCCACAAGCGTCTTGACCTTTTTTTTAAAACGTGACTGTTTCCTTATCCTTAAACAATAAGCTACTATGAAAGTAGATGCAGCAGAAATTACACAACTCTGTGTTTTCGGGTAAACTACTGAGGCTGCCTCGCTAAGCCAAGCTCACGATCCGTACATCGAGGCAGCCGCGCGAGCCTTCTTCGAAATGGCTGGACCGATTTACAGGACGTTTACTGGCAGATAACTGATTTTATAAGGAGTAATGTGGTCTCTCTTATATAGGACTAATTAAAAGATTAATAAAAACTCACGTTAAAGAACATATAGCTGATGTGAAGAACCGACGCTCCGGGACGTCTGCAGTCTGTGAACACGTACATGATCGGCCCTGTCACTACATTAGATATGATAGACCACAAATCCTCGCTAAAGGACTCCGATTCCTTCCAAGCATGATTCGCGAGGCTACTGAAATCAAAAAACATCCAAAATTCAACAGAGAAGATGTCTGAGTACTACTAGGGAGTGCCTTTAAACTGAGGAGATACGACAAGGGGTTCTTTTTATTATATATATTATATATACAATATATTTCTTATTACATATAATACAAAAGTAAGATATAGTTACCTCATTTTTTGTTGATCAGATTAGATCCAAAGTCCTTAGAGTCCCTAGTTGTATGTATATATAATAAGGTGCACAAAATGTACAACTTTTAGTTTTTCTTAACCTGTTATGCCATTAAACGCATTGACAGTGGATTTTATCCTTGTCTTGTTGATGTGCCTCGAACACATACAAATTGCTTCGCCTCATCGTTTTTGCCATTTGATTGGAATTATTTAACTGCGTTAGCTGTATTGCCGAGATTTGCGACTTTATATTGCAAGAGTGAATATGCATTTTCTAGGGTAGTGTATTTACCATCTGACACTTTACACTTTATCAGTTATCACCTTAAAATATCAAATGTTCGAGCAAACCAAGTTCGATCGTGATTGC